CAGTTATCGAGAGTGCAGTCATGTTGCTGATACCCTCACATCAGTTTCTGTACATGCACACATTGTAAGAATACTGTAAAAACAACACAAACTTATCGTGCTTTATAACAGGTGCTGAAAGTGACTCCTGCTTGCAAACATGCCTCGCATCGCATAGATAAATTATGCGACACTTTCTGAAGTTGGCCCATGGTAATTGAACCAATTAAACGTGTTATTTCATTCTGCATAGCATCAGTGGTGCGAGGATTATTCTTGTAGACTTTTCCCTTTAGGTTTCCCCAAAGATAAAAATCGCAAAAACTGAGATTTGGGGATCCCACAGTCCCCTGCTGATTATTCTGTCATCAAACACTTCCCGTATTGCGATCATGAATGCATTAGCCGTATGTGCTGTAGCATTGTCTTACTGAAAATACCCATATTGTCTTTCTTCGACAGTCAACTGATTGAAGAACGGATTCAGTATATCTTCAACGTAGCGGTCAGAGTTCACGGTTTCTTTCAAAAATAAGGGACCAATGATTCGTCGTGGACTTACAGCACATCACACACCCACGTTTTCATTATGTAATTGCACTTACAGTGGGGCACACAGTAGCGTAGTTGGTTGAGGCACTATGCTGCAAGCCGGAAGGTCGGGGGTTCAAGTCCCGATGAAGTCATTGGATATTTTCAATTTACCTAATTCACAGTTCGGAGCTAGTAGTCGTAGCATGCGGACGCATATTGCTTGTCTCTGGCACGGTGCGGAGTTAAAGTGGAAACGTACGGAACAGTGCCCCAATCGTTACAAAGTTCAAGCGTCATCAATCCAGTGATCTTCATTATTGTGTGTGATAAAACAAGGCTGATAAACCAACACATTCAATCCTAGTCATAGCATCGAGGAGTTAAACCAATTAAACTAACTCATAATGTAAGAACGACACTTACTCAACAGACCGCGCCCTAAGCGGTACAAAAAGTGTACTGGTGACAACAATGTGCAAATTCGAAGTAATCAAGTGA